GTCTCGCTCTTGCTCAGGCTGGTCTTGAACTCCTGAGCTCAAACAATCCGCCCGCCTCGGCCTCCCAGAGTGCTAGGATTATAGGCGTGAGCCACCGCACCTGGCCCAAAATATATCTTTTTAATTAGCTAGGCGTGGTGGTGTGTGCCTGTGGTCCCAGCTACTCAGGAGGCTGAGGTGGGACAATTATTGGAGGCCAGGCATTGGAAGCTGCAGTGAGCTATGATTGTGCCAGTGCACTCCAGCCTGGGCAACAGAGCAATACCCTGTATCTAAAAAATAAAATAAATGTCATAGGGGTGGCAAATTGCTATAAAGTTTTTGGAGCATTCATTCTAAATTTCTGAATTTTAACTCATCACAGGTGACAGATACCCCCTATTCTTTGTGTTAAGAGCTGACTGTCCTCCCTCTTCTCCTTTCACTTCATCTCACTTTGGATAGTCTCCCTTAGATAGGAAGTGTAAGTTTTAGATGAGAGAAATTGCACATTAGTTTTCTTCTCCAGATTTACCTCTTGTGCCTAAGTTATTTCCATGAAAATATATTACCTTTCTATCCTATGGCCCATTCATGCCACTAGATCTCTATCACTTTAGAAGATTATTGGCTAGGCTCAGAGTCTTCAGTTACTTGGGGAAAACTACACCATGTTGAAGGTGTAAGGTGACATTTGTTAGCTCTTAGCACCCTCTTCTTTATCCAGATTTCTCAGTGTTTGACAAGTATATTATAGATTATAGTTTGGGGTTGTAGAAGTTTATTTCAATGAAGATAGTATATTTTCTTCTGTCTACTTTTTATTTTGTTTTATTTGGAGAATTTCTGGTGAAACTTTTGAACACTTTTTACTTCTTAATAAAGAATATTTCACTTTTAAAAAATTAAGAGTTCCTGTGGTTTGCATCTTAAAAAGGCAAAGCAGAATTCTGTCTAAATTCTTAGAGTTCTGCTTTATTGGATTATTTTGCACTAGAGGTATCTCTTAACAAAATAGATGCACTTTATTAAAATATATTTTAAAGCAAAATTACATTAACTGAACCCATAATAAAGAGGTAAAATTGTATAGCAAAGAATACGTAATTATAACTACCCTGGAAGGATACAGTGTGTGAGTGTGTGTGATGGGATAGGAGAGTTGAATTCTCATCTCCCCCTAATAGGAAGTCAGTAGAGAATACCTAAAACTGAAAAGTCAAAATATAATAATACAAATATGTTACTTAGAAATATAGAGATAGGCCGGGCGTGGTGGCTCAATGCCTGTAATCCTACACTCTGGGAGGCCGAGGTGGGAGGATTGCTTGAGCTCAGGAGTTCGAGACCAGCCTGAGCAAGAGCGAGACCCTGTCTCTACTCTAAATAGAAAGAAATTGGCCAAACAACTAAAAATAGAAAAAATTAGCCGGGCACAGTGGCGTGTGCCTGTAGTC